GCTATTGCTATCGGTGTCGGTGTCTTCCCTACCCTCAATCTCCGCTTCTGCCTCCTCCTCCTCCTCCATTGGATTCTCATTCGTAGTCACTCGGTCTATTCTATTAGTCACTTGCTCTATCTCTTCATCGCGTGTGTTATTTGTGGTCTCTTCTTTTCTGACCCGCCTACGTCGAGTAAGTGGGAAGAAACGATGCGTGGTCGGTAGACAGTTGCCCATTGCAAAATTTTAGCGAAAGTGAAAATTTGCAGCAGTTTTTTTGTTTACAGCGAAAAAATCCATGGAAGTATCGATCATCAATTAGGACAATTTGCTCGAGCGCGAACGTGCGCGTGCGCGCGCGTTTATTAATCTGTACTAATAGCATATCGCTGCGAATAATTGAAATAGCCAAAAATGTTATCATATTCCTTTTATTATTCTCCTTCGTCGTCGTCGTCGTCGTTGTCTTCTTCTTCTTCTTCTTCTTATTATTATTATTATTATTATTATTTTATCATGATTATTTTTTGAATAATGACTCCTCCATCTGACCATCTCATTCATAGGTAGAATGTGTTCATTTTACTGCATGAAAAATTGTAATACTTTGAGTTTGCCCTCTATACATGCTTCAATATCAAATAATGCATCCGGACTACTAAATGATATCATTAATACTAGTAATAAAAATGTGGAGCTCTTAAAATCCTTTATTTTTAAATAGGAAAGAAGTCAGAGAAAGAAGAATTATTAAAGAGAGTTTTATTGCTAACAATCTTAGATTAATTAAATAGGAGTAAAGTTGTGAAGCCTAATATCAAAAATCACAATAAGTTATGAACGGATAATATACGAATCAAAGTAGTGCCTCTATTAGAAAACCAACATACTGTATACCAATATGGGTAAAATTTTGCATATTAGCACATCAATATGACAGTTGATGTCATGGTAGAATATAACCCATAAATGTTTCACCCATTAAAAGTAAGTTCAAAATAAAGCTTACTTTTCAGACAAACTCCTTAGAGAAAGCAGAAAAAATTAAATAGATTTTTGACCCTCAAATATGTCAATAGCGTAAACACTAAGTGTGAAATAAATCTTTGGATAAATTCATTACCAAAGAAAATCTGAGTCAGTAATATCATACCAGTTAAAATTTGTGTAACCATAAATATAGAAATCATGAATAATTTAGAGATTAATTTACAGGAAGATCAAGCAGTTTGAGACGAAAACCGGAAGTAGTCAATAAAATTACGATTCGTCAGCTTAAACAACCTATTAGTAATAAACAAAAATATACGAAGATTATGCTTAATTGACACACACATAATATCAAACAGTTCTTGAACTTCGATAATAAAAAAATAATATCTAAACCAACTATTAATGGGCAAATTAAATCCCTAATGACACATGTCCAAAATGTAGATAAACAAAAGCGAAACCACTAGTATGAAAGATTGGGTCATAACTTCTATTCATTACTTCTTCAAACTCAAATAATTGTAAGAGAACAAATGAAGAACCTAGTTTCATAGACAAAATAACATTCACTCTGTGAAATGATGATATGAAGTGTCAACTAAACTTGTTTCTAACAGTTTAGAACACGCCAAATAAGGTAAGGATTAGATAAAAGTACCAAAGCAAAAAAGGAAATATTAATCTACCAAATATAGAAACATGAATAAATCTAAAATCACTCATCTCCGCTGTATAAAATAATATAGTTGCTAAAATACATACCAATAGAAATAATCTTATGTTTCACATAAGGGGTGGCGATAGACTTACCTCCACGTGGTGCACCCTGGACAACGTATACTCATGCGGCAAAAAAGTCTGTCACTTGGCAATTGATTTGATTTGACTTCGATTTATTATGATTAGCTTAAAACATGGCTATAAGAGAAATCGCCCTCGTCAGGGCGAATTACAATGTCTTCAGATCCTCCAGTGGAATGCTGGAGGGATGTCACAAGACAAAAGGATCCAAGTACAGAAAATCCTACAAACCTTTGGAAGCAAACATTTCGGATGACAAACGGAAGTACTACCAGTTCCCAGGTTACACCCTGTACCTTCTACCTAAATACCGGCAAATTGCAAGTGGAATTCTAACTGGAGTAAAAGAAGGCCTCACCTCACACTACGATCTAATCAAGAGTATGGGCGCGACACAAGACATATGTGAAATAATCAGATTAAATGTTTAGAAATGTCAAAACCACTTCAAGGTATATGCAGTCTATAATCCACCCCAGAATTGTCCCAACTTTGAATTTCTGAACATCTCACACAAAACTATAGTATTAGGAGACTTCAACGCCCACTCCACCAGATGGGGCTACAAGGGTACAAACATAGCTGGAAAAGAAATTGAAGACATGCTAAACAGCAACCCTCTGGAACTTATTTACAGCAATGAGGATCCGGCTACACATTTGCACTACAATGTAACCAGAACAACTCCTGACTTACTCCGGGTTTCAAGCGACATCAGCGAGCATACACGCCGCAAAATAATTGAAGATCCTGGTTCTGGTTACAAACCAGTCATTGCTAGTATTAACATCGGCAGAAAAGCATGACAAGGAAAGTGCCAAGTAAGCTATCATGGAACTTCAAGAAGGCCGACTGGTCTAGATTCACTAACCTTTTTAGAGAATGAACTTCACACAATTCCCCTCAACTTCAACCAACATCCTGACAAACTTTGCAACGATATCACGAATATTATGTTTAGATTTTCAAGAGATTTAAAGATACAAGTAAGACAGTTTGGTGAAATTAAGGAAGACATAGCAACACCAAATAATGTACTTACTGAACCATTCAAACCTTGCGAACCTAATGCTGCGATAAAACAGATAAAGTGCAAAATGTCTTTTGGCGAAGATGGTATTCATTCGAAATTTCTAATTAGAATGGGACCCAAGGCCAAGGAAATCATGCTGACGCTTTTCAACAAAATCTGGGAGACCAGTCTCGTACTTAACCAATGGAAAGTTGCCATAGTTATACCAGTACTAAAAAAGGGCAAGGACCCTAGCAACTTTGGCAACTATGGGCCTATCTTCCTCACAAGCGTTCTGGCTAAACTTATGGAAAGAATGGTTAACAGGAGGCTGACCTGGTTCCTTGAGACCAACAATATTCTCAGGAGTGAACGAGCAGGTTTTAGGCCACAAAGATCAACGAACCAACAAGTAGCCACTCTCTCCCCATACATCAAAGATGCTCTTGATGCAAGAAATACTCTTACGGCTGTTTTCGTCGATTTCAAATTAGCATATGACTTAGTATAGAAAAAGAAGCTAAATCTAAAATTGGCAAAGACTGGTTTTAAGCATAACATGCTAAACTGGATAAAAGCATTCATTGGACAAAGATCGTGTAAAGTCGGATACGGAAATGCTCTATCAAAATCCAATCTTTTACAAACAGGCCTTCCACAGGGAGCTGTCACAAGCTGCACTCTTTCAATGTTTTCATCAATGACACATCGAATTGGTACAGACAGTCACGGGCATCAAGTGCTTACTTTACGCAGATGATCTTGTTCTATGGTATTCTGCCCCTAAGAAAAACGCTCAGGAGATGACAGAAAGTCCCTTAAACTGTGCACTTAAACTACAAGCAAACTGGTGCGACAACAATGGAATGGTAATCAACACCGCGAAAACTGCATTCTAAAATTTTTCTTTGGCCCGTCACGGCATAAACCCGCTTCTAAGGCGCAAGGATACTACATTAAAAAAAACCAATGAGTTCACATATCTCGAAATGACTTTTGACACAAAGCTAACGTGGAAAAGTCACATTGCTAAAACAGCAGAACGAGACTCCAATAGACTGAATGTACTGAAGCGTCTTGCTGGTAGCGTATGGGGCTGTGCGCGCTCAACTCTCAACGCCACTTACAGGATGTTTATTCAGCCAATAATGTTGTATTGCTGTGAGCCACTCATTACAGCCACAGAGGTGACTCTCAAACCACTCGAGAAGGCACACAATCAAGCATTACGACTAATTACTGGAGGGATAAAATCAACACCCATTGATGCAATTCTCCTAGTTACAGGAAGCACCACAATAGGTTCCCTTATCAAAGAAAAGGCCTTCGTCCTGTATGAGAAGCTACTGCGCATTCCCATGGATAAGTTCTTCAGCACCTATGAGATTAGACCATGACAACTGAAAACGTAATCTGGTCTAATACAGAAAGCCATAGAACTGAAGAAAGAATTACAAATCGATGACAAACCAAAGAGCCTCTCTCTCTACCCATGAACCCATTAGCAGACACTGATGTAGTGTGTTGCACCCAACNTATCACAAAGCCTGCCATTTGAAATAAATAAATATTTCACAAAAATTTTATAAAAGTGCTAACCAGCAAAAGATGGCTCAAATATTTGCCAACCTAAACTCAATCATCTTCACGTACCTTAAGTGAGCACTACTCATAGCATGTATTGTACCACTTCCCACAAATCCATCCATGCCCATTTCAACTCCAATTTCACCTCCACTTCACTAATTTCTCCAATTTCTCCTCGTCATTTTAAGAACAAACTCGTCAGTCTTCTACATAAATACAATACACCTCCAAATAATAGATCAATAAAAGAAGAACTAAATAATAAAAGGAAATACAAAGGTCAAAACCTACGAGACATTTGCTGTTTTTGTATATGACTACTATCTGCTGAATAAATTCGCAGTCACAAAATATTCATCGAAACTTCGCCTAAATATTGCACTGTCCGACTCGATTTTCACAACCACTGGCCACTTAGATGGGATTTTAAGTCTGGAATGGACAAATGTGCAAAACAAGTAGAGATACGCAATCTACCACATATACAGATTCACCTTGAATCTCGTAAACAAAATTGCACCATACATAGTCAAAATGGTCGAAAAAACGGAAGGAAAAACGATTATATGGATTTTTATCCAGAAGCACAAAAATGTTCTGGTGAGGTAATAGATGAGGTTCATATTTGTAAGTAATGGGTTGGAAGGGTGGTCGAGGTTGGATCAAGTGAACCGCGTTGTTAGCACACTCGAATGTTTCCTATTATTCTGCGGGTAAAAGGAGGAAATTAATTTCAATCATCTTATTAAATAGATTCACAAATGCTTAATGAAGTACTTTCTAGTTCAGATTCAATGGTAGAACATCTAATTTTAAACAATTTATTGTAAAATCAACTTGTGGGTAGGGCGATTGGGTTTCAAAGTTATTTGCTTTCGATGCCCGTTTTGAATAGTCAACTTTCGTGTTCAGTTGAAATGAATTGGGAGAGTTGAAGAGTTGAGTTTCATCTATGCTTGTCTTGTGAAAATTAATAATATTAAAGGAGGATTTAATAATAAATCTTCCATTACTTTACTATGAATTTCATATTTTTTGAGTGATTTTTGCAATTTCAGATCTAGTTGCGGAAGCACCCGTAGTGATAGAAGCGTAAGCAGAACGTATCGAGTGAAGAGGTCAATTCTGAACCGGTATGAATGCGTCAGCAATCATTTTTATTGCTGAAAATTTCTCCAATGAAGAAAAACACTGGTTAGCTGAATTGTCAAGCATGTTAGTAAAATTTATAAATTCTTTGCGAACTTATGTCTCTAAGGAGCATAGTCTTACCGTGAGGCAGTGGCAGAAATTGATCACACGATGGTTGCAATCTTCGAGCGAAATTGTTTGACAACACTGATATGCACCCAGGATCTCTAGCGGACTCAAGCCTATAGAAATAATGGTTAGATTTCCATAACACATGGAAGACGATAGGTGAATGTGAATAAACGTAAGGCACTTTCTCTAATGACATTAAATAAATCTGAACACTTCTTCGCCTAAGAACTAAAGAAACCTCGATATTTTCCTGTGATAACCAATCAATTGACACCTTTTAGAAACAATGACACAACTGCCTAACAAACCTCAGAGCTATTTTTCATAGTCAACTTGGTGCAATCGCAAAGGTACTAATAGAAGTTTCGATGTAGGTATTACTAATTTCGTCTGCAGTTCAAGCTTGACTTTAACTAAATTGTTGTTCTTTCTAAGTAACACAGACTAAACCAATAATTTCAGAAAGCTCTTTTACTTGTATCCTGATTACAAGTACTTCAGGTGTTCAATTGACATGTGTCCGAGGTCTCACGTAGAGCTCTTGACTAGGAGACAACTTCATTTTCTGTAGGAGAACTCCTTGAACGGTGAAAAAATAAATTTCAAATTTCAGCGTAAATGTCTCTTAAATGTTGGCCAATCATTTCAGTTGGTCAATTGGCAAACATGTTTATATGAAAACCGCGGCAAATATGAATTTATTATATAGTGCGGTCCTTTTATTTAATCCAGGAAGTTGTTGTGAGTTAGCCATCCTAATTGTTGCCATTAATAGTTTCTTAACTTTCCTTTAAGCCAAGTTATTGCAACCGATTTAGAAAATGACCATATATTTCATATTCATCGCACTCATATTCTCACTAAAAACCCATGTGAAGAGGACTCATAAAAGTTTGCAATTCGATCGAAAAATTCAATGAAAAATAGTAAAATAAGGCTCTGAAAAAATTATTCTAACCATTAAACTAAATCTTAAGCCTATAAAACTATATGTTTGAAATATTCATATTCATAAGCCGATCTAACAACAATCTCTAAATATTTTGAAAACATTCAGTCTGAAATAACTTAATTTTGTTTATTTTAAGGAAGAAAGCTAGCTTCTAATTAAAAACAAATTTATTACGTGTAATGTTATTATTATTATTTCAAATGGCAGGTTTTATTTTATTTATCATTAGTCCCTCAGTTGACTTCAGCTTTTGGAGGGGTATCATTCGCAATTTAACTTTGACTTCAGCTTCCCCCAAGGAAGGGTGGGTACATTTATAGCAGTTAATCAATAGCGGAAAAACTTTGACTTCATCTTCCCCCAAGGGTGGGGGGGGGGGTACATTTATAGCCTTAATCTTTGACTTCAGCTTCCCCAAGAGGGGGGGGGGGTACATTTATAGCGGTTATTAACACAGCCCATGGGTGGGGGGTACATATATAGCAGTTAATTAATAGCATGTCTATATCATAGGTATGTAGAATTTTCTGGATTTTGATCTTTTATCTCGTGACAACCCTCCAGTATTCCACTGAAGGATCTGTAGAAGTTGTGATTCGCCCTGACGAGGGCGATTTCTCTTATAGCTTCGTTTCAAGCTAATCATAATAAATTAAAGTCAACTGCCTGTTAATAGACTTTTTTGCCGTATGAATATACGTTGTCCAGGGTGCATCAAGTGGAGGTAAGTCTATCGTACAACCCCATTAGCAGTAATGTTAGAAATTTCTTCAACTTCATGACCTCAACTCTACTACAAATCCAAAAACTAAAATACAAATTAAAAAATCTTAAAAGGAAAAATTCGTAAAAAAATCCTTGCTCGTGAATACTTAATAACAAAGATATCACTAAATCAAATATAACAAAAAAGCTGGTAAGGAAATAATTAAATCTAAAACGTTTAAACCTTTTTACGGATTTCTACACTAATGAGCTCTGAACGTATTCAG